CAAAGCATCTGAGTTTAAAACCTTTGTTGTATCTATACTTTGAAGTTCGTTACATACTATAAGTTTCATATTCTCTATTGAAGAGTTAAATTTACCGCAGATGTTTTCTAAGTTTGTCATATTAGGGTTCGAATAGCCCTCTAACAGTTTGCATAAGATATCTGTAAAGAAAGTGTTCTTACCAGTTCCTTGTTTTCCAATTATAAGAGAGCAGTTTCATTTTAGCACTTGGATATTGTAAGATGTTTGCAAACCAACATAAGATATACTCATAGACTCTTTCGTTTCCATTGCATATAATTTCTTTGACATGGTCTAACCAAGCTTCTATAATATTTTCTTTCCATTCTACTTGTTCGTATTTATATCCAGTGAAGATAGAATAGAAGTTTGGAGAAGGTGTATAAAACTTTATACCTCGAACTGAAAAATCTTCAAGTTTTGACAATAAGATATCCCAAGCATCTAACATCTTCATGCCAACTTGTACGACTTTTATTTTCTTAAGTTTCTGTCTACATTCTTGTTCAGACACTATTGTTGCTCTTGGTTTGTTAAAGACAACATCCCATTCTTTCATAACATAACATTCTGGGGCAGAGTCAACATAAATGACTAAACGTTTCAAATTCTCGACTGCTTTGTTATAGTCTCTAAATGGACACATATTTCTGAACGCTTGGAAGTCATAAAAATCTGAAACGTCTATTCTGTACATTTTTATAAAAATAAAAAAAATATTTTTTTTATTCTTGACTTTGTTGTTGCATTTGTTGCATTTGTTGTTCTTGAGCTATTTGTTGTTGAAGTTGTTCTTGTAGTACAATACTTTCCCAGTTGCATCTTCCAATTCGAAACTTTCTGCCGTATTGACAAATACATAGGACATAAAAGTTTTACAGGAACAAAGTTTGCGTCAACTAATGTCAACGTTATACTTGCCAAAGTGTTTGAGTTCACTAAGGTTGAAAACTCTGCATTCGAATGAACAATAGGCAAACCAGCAGAGAAGTGTTGTTTATACGCATGAGTATCTTTTGGTCATAGTAGTTTCTGTCGACATTCGAATAGCACTTTGAACCTAAGTTTGAAACAATATATAAAATAGGTGTACTTAAATCAATGGAAAGACAAACCTTGTATGACACCTTTTCCTGTTATAGGAAACTGTTGGTAGTAAAACCAGATATAAGTTTTGTATTATACTCATATCGTTTATACTAAACTCGGTCGGACATCCAAAATAATGAAACCTGCTCTAGTTGCAGCACATGTTACATCGTCCTTAAAGTATTAAATAAGTCAAAAAACCTGTTGGTGGTATATCTGAGTAAGTATCTTCAAAGAAGTATTTTTTACCATTCACAACAACAAAGTCTTCTGGTGTCAAAAGAGCAAAACAGGCTTTAGTCGTCATCGTGTTTAAGGTCAGTTTACAATATCGTCCTTGAGGACTTTGTAAGTTTGTTGTTATAGAATTATATGACTCAGGGTTTTTAGTCGTAATAGTATAAACCATTATATCTTCTGCCATTTACTTAGCAACTAAATTTTAATGAAATGTTGTGGTCGTCAAATATTTTTATGACGTCTGGGAAACTATATTTTAAGTTCAACGTTTCACCTCCTTTCATAACGTATATCTTGTCAATGACATTGTATGAAACACCACAGCAAGCAATGTCGGGTTCTATTTCTTTGATGTTTATATCGTCTGCCTCTGTCAAAAGTTTCAATAGTTCTTTCAAAACTTCATGAGGTGCGATGACATATGAGTTCACTTTTACAGGGTTGTGCTCGACCAAGTTTAACATTATAGCTTGACAAATCTTCTCCTGAGTTTTAAGTTTGTCTTTAAGTTGTTGGTAGTCGTTTCGAATATCTGCAACAGAACTTAAGTCTCTGCTAACTTCAGGGTATGTTGGTTGTTCTTTTACAGGAACTATTGTTATACCATCTTGGTCTTCGTATGGTTTCCCATTTCAACATCTCTTTTTTGACATTGACAATAACACTTTGACTGTTTTTGAGTTGGTGAATTTAACTTCACATCTGCCACCGCATTAAACCTTTTGAAACACTTACGCTTCTATTTTTCGGAAATGACATTTTACTTAGAATAAAAAGATGGACGTATTTGAGTATCTCTTCGAATTGAAGCAGAACAAAGTTTACACACACAAACAATACAAATACATTGACAGAATAGTTCTTTACACAAACAATGGAAAATGTTATAGAATAGCAATATTTGCTGAACCAAAATATTTTCATAAAGCAAAGAAAGTTGGTATAACCGAAATGGTGAAAGTTCTTGAAGCAGACAAAAATATAACAACAAAACTTACAGATATTTCTAAAGGTAAGTTTATAATACAATTTTATGTTAAGACTGGCGTACTGTCAATATTTGACGGAGAGAAGTCAGTTCAAGAACAACTTACTGACCTGCTGCCAAAATCTGCTCGATGGAAGCTGTCGTTATACCAATCTGAGGAGCCCCAGCAGGTTTCATCGAACGAATCTTCAAAAGAGCATCTTCCGTGAAAAGTGCTATTGGTTTTGTAAACTTCTTTGCTCTCAGTTCATCTGGACCGTCTCTGTCACCAGTATATTGTATTTGAACTGTACCAACAGTTGAAATACCACCCATAAAGTCTTCTGAGTCAGCAAATGGAATGCCAAGCCAAAAGTTTGAACGGTCTCCATTTGTATATTGAGTTTTTTGAGCTCCTGTATGGGTCCATACTTTCACATATGGCATAATAGAACTTTGCATTTCAGGGTTAATGGTTGTTGTGAAGTTGTTGTTAAAGTTCATAGCATCTAATGTCAAGTTGTATGACCTCATATCCTCAACTGTAGAATATTCTTCTCTTGGATAGTATTTGCCATCTATGTTATATGGTATTTAATACCAGGGTTGTAGAAGCAAGAATAGTCATTTATAGTTCGTCTGAACAGTACAAATAGTATCTGCATGTTTCATTGCAGTTGTTAAAGCAATATCTGTTCTTGCACCTGGGTCAGCACTTTGGTTTCCAACTTCACCTGCAAAGTCTTTGAAGATATTTGGTGTATAGGAACATAAGTGGAACTGCAATATATTTGGCAGCTAAAGCATTTGAAATATCTGGGTCCAACATATAGACTGCAAGTCTGCTTTCTATTCTCTTGCATTCAAATTTTTCGCATGTGAACTTAACTGGGTCCCAAGCATCTCCAGCAGCATTGAAATAATAGTTTACTTCAGTGTTGAGGTTTGAGAAACCAAAGTCTAAGTCAACTTTGTTTTTGCAAAGTCGGCGAATGACATTTTATTTGTTCCCTACTTCTGTAAGAGTGAATGGGTCTTGTGTTGGTGCAATGACTAAGTTATTTTTGCTTGGAGTAAGTTCGATAGAAATTTTTCCTGCCAGTTTGGCAAGTATCTTAAAAACCTGAAGATGAGGAAAGATGACAAAGGAACTCTAAGTTTCAGTTTTACTTTGGTTACTGCTGCTGCAGTTTGTCCAGAAAGGTTAACATAAACTCCTGGAACGTTAGGGTCAAGTCTTCTTATTTTCTCAATAGTTGCATACTGGTCTGTTTGTTCTCTAGCTTGTGGTTGTAGGAGTTTCTCAAAGCGAACCATTCATAGTTTGCCCATGTTACTGTTTGAACTAAGTCAGAGTTAGAATATATCTTATATCCATAAAAACTTCTGGAGCATATTGGTATCCGACATAGAAAATTCCATTGCAACTTTCTTGTCAGACAACTTGGCAGAAGGTTTTATTTCAATGTCTTGTTCCACGTATAAGAAAGATTGTCAATAGAAATTAATATGAAACCTGTCGCAAGCAAATATCTACTTTGTTGAAGAACCTTCTCCAAAACTCACCTACGTTTCCATAAGAAACAGCAGTTGTATATTCGTAAGTTCCAGGAACTATTTCTGACCTTCTAATGGCATTGTCGCATTCGTTATACCATTCGGAAACATTTCATTCATAGCATCCAAAACTGTTGGCGTTATATTCTGAGCGCGTACATTTCAATGAGTAAAAATATAGAATAGTTGGATTTATATGTCATAATAGAACCCACGTGGACCAAGCTTTACTTTCTTCCTGACTGAGTTTTTAACTCTTCTTTTCCTTCATTGCCCTCTGCTTGAAGTTGTTGCATCTTTGCATTATGTTCATCTAGTATGTTGCAAATTTCCCATGTCCTTTTTGCCTTTTGGCTCTGGTCGCCCATCTCAGGGAAACCTATATCCTAGAAAGAGTTTGTCATAGTCTGTATTTGAGTCTTTCGCGTATTGTTTGCATGACTCTTTCCTGAGTTTCCGGTTCAAGCTCTTCAAACAGTGCCTGTCCATATGGAATATGCTCGTTTCCAAATATATGTTTTTGTAGCCATTCTGGTTTTCTTTCCATGTTACCAACTATATCTTTTGTGAATGGGAAAGCTTTTACCCAATCTTTCAGTCTTGCGTCGTTTATTTCTGTAGTTGGTTTTATTTTGTCAAGGAACATGTTTTTCAATACTAACATTTCATTTGGTACTGTCCATTTGAGTTTTCTTAAATATTCATCCCTTCTCGGTTCATTGTCTGCAAAGTAAGTTTTTATGACATTTTGTAAACTTTCGTTTGCAAGGTCATGTACAATAGGTTCTCTTCCTTCTCTGTCCATAACTTTCTTTCTAAACTCTTCACCAAATATACCATCTCTATGGTTCTGTGTAGTTCTTTGAGATAAATGTTCTAGAACGTCAGGTGTTATATTTCCATCAGCCATGTTCATTTCATACTGGTCCAAAATATCTGCATGTTTCATATCTTTCAATGGCATTAAAGCCGCGCTTAAAATACCAGCTATATCTGGTTCACCATTGACTTCCATTGCGTCTACAACTTCTTGGAATTGTGGTTGTAAGTTTATGAACCACCTATCCGGATTAGCTTTATGACCCCATCTCATTGTAGTTCCATCGTCTGCAGAAACAAAAGTAGGTTTGTTTCCATCTTGGTTAGGTTCTGAATGAACTTTAAACAATGTTTCATTTCTATATGTTTTCTTGAAATTTAACCTTTTATTTTCACCGAGTTCATCCGAAGATTGAACGTTAAATGCTCGTAAGTAAAAAGGGTTGTTGTATTTGTGTACATTTTCTTTCAGTGCTTCCATTCTATGCTGAATATTTTCATCTGGTGTTGGAGTCTTTTGTATGTCGGCAAACATTTTTCGATATTCTTCTACTATGTCAGCTGAATTTTTTTTAGACTCTTGGAAATATTCCATATTCTCCGCATACTCTTGTTGAGGGTCAAGATTTTTCGGCTGTTCCAAATCTTCATCTAGTTCTGTGAAGTTAGTTTCCAAAGGAGTGACTTGTTCGTTTCCTTCAGGCTCTTCTAGCTGTTGTTGCTGAACTATTTCTTCCATGTCTGGTTGTATCTGAACTAGTTCTTCCTGTGGAGTTTCTTGTACCTCATCTGCTGGCATTTCATATATTCCGAGACCGTTTTCAACAAGTTCCCTTTCTAAGTCATCCGGACTCAAAAACCTTTCTTCTTTCGTTCCGTCTCTATTTTTTACGCGTTTCATGACGGGAGTTGAATTGTCATTTAGCTCTGACATCAAATATCTCGGAGTAAATTCAGTCATGTCATTTGGATGATATGCTATTAAATCATATCCCTTAGCGAGCTTGTATTTTCCAGGTTTGAAATTATATCCCATTTGGTGCTGAACCATAAAGCTAAATAGGTTCGGGTCAGTATTTCCATCCTTGAACTTTCTAATAGCTTCTTTATATCTGTCACTAAAGTCAATACTATCTGGGTAACCATAGTCTTCCTTAAGCCTTTTTAAGAATTCTTGGTTTCCTTGTTCTCTACTTCTTTTATGTCCTTGCTCTGTTTGTGGTTGTTGTTGTGCAGGGTTTTGAACTGTTGGTTGTGGTTGTTGTTGTGCAGGGTTTTGAACTGTTGGTTGTTGTGTTGGTTGTTGTGCTGGTTGTTGTGTTGGTTGTTGTTGTTGTTGTGCTGGATTTTGAACTGTTGGTTGTTGTGTTGGTTTTGGTGCATGCCTGTGTCTGTGTCCATGTGACGATGTAAATGTTTTAGGTAGTCCTGGTGCAGGTGCTTCTCTTGGAGGGTTTGGTGGTATATAAATTCCAACAGCTGGTATATAAGTTCCACCAGCTGGCACATATGTTCCATCTGCAGCGTAATGTCCTACCTGACTTTTCGTTCTTAAGAAAGCATTTACTAGGTCTGTTTTGGTCTGTTGTAACTCTTTTTCTTGACTTTTCACAACAGTTGCTCTAACGGCGTCATAGGCACTTTGAACTGCCTGTCTCGTTGCTGCATCTGTTATTTTCGTCATATTTTGTGCTACTTCTTTTAACTCTTTGTCGAAACCTTCAGACTTCAGTTTCTTTCCAGATGAGAAGTCGTTCACTTGTTTCACCTTACTATGAAGAGCTTCGAAGGCGTTCTTAAAGTCAGCATTTGTTAAAGCTTCATTTGAACTGTCTTCATCCGCTTGTATTTTTGTCCTTATTGACCCTATGAGTTGGGCTGCTTTAGCGTTGGCTTGGGCATCTAACCAGTCATTATTAGCTTTTATATATTCTGCACTTTTCATTGCCTTTTGCATAGCCGCGTCGTTATTTTTACTTTCTTGTGCTAAGTTTTCATACTGTACGGTTTGGTTTTGCAACTGTAAAAGTTTTTCTGCCTTTACATTTGCTTCAACTTCTTTTTTATACTCATCGCTATCCATATATGTCTTCAGGGCTTTTTGTTTTATCTCTTCATCTTTCAGTACTTTATATTGAGTAGTATGGTTTTTCAAATTTACAACATCTTGTTCCATTTTTGCTACTTCTGCTGCTTTTTCTGACACTTTTTTCGCATATTGCTCTGTACTTAGTTCTTTCAGTTGTTCTTCTTTCTTCTTTTTCTCTACGTTTAACTCATTGAGTTTCTTTGTGTGTCTGTCATATTCTAGTTTCTTTTCGTTTTCACTTATTTGCTTCTGTATGTCTATGTTTGACTTTTTGACATCTGATATTTGATTTTTGAGTGAACTCAAATTCATTTGACTTTGAGGGTTATAGGCTGTTCCGTCTGCAGCTCCACCATAGCCTGCCATTTTCGCTAAAAGTGCCGCTCTTAAACCTCCACTCTGTGCACCAACAACTCGGTTTAAAAGCATAGGATTGCTTGACATTTGTTGCAACATAGTGGGGTCATTCAGCATTTGTTGTTGCAACTGTTGTTGTGGTGTTAGTCTTACTATTGGATGTTTCAATGCTCTCTTCCTCTTACGTATATTCTTACGTAGCTTACGTGGCATTTTAAGTGAAGTTAAAAACATTTACGATGAAGAAGTTTCGACAAAACATTTACGAAGAAATCATGAGTTTTCTACCCTCTTGAATTTTCATGAAATTTACACCAAAAATATATTTTATGTTAGAATGTTAGATCTAACATGTTTTCTAACATGTTTTCTAACATCGTAGAAAACTCTTGAAAATCATGAAATTTACACCAAAAAATAATGTTTATGTTAGAATGTTAGATCTAACCTTCTACCCTAAATTATATTTTTGGGTCCTTTACGCTCATTACGAAGAAGTCTTGACAAAACATATACGATGAAGAAGTTTCGACAAAACATTTACGAAGAAATCATGAGTTTTCTACGATGTTAGAAAACATGTTAGAAAACATGTTAGATCTAACATTCTAACATAAAATATATTTTTGGGTCATTTACGCTCATTACGAAGAAGTCTTGACAAAACATTTACGATGAAGTCTTGACAAAACATTTACGATGAAGTCTTGACAAAACATTTACGATGAAATTCATGACAAAACATTTACGATGAAGAAGTTTCGACAAAACATTTACGAAGAAATCATGAGTTTTCTACGATGTTAGAAAACATGTTAGAAAACATGTTAGATCTAACATTCTAACATAAAATATATTTTTGGGTCATTTACGCTCATTACGAAGAAGTCTTGACAAAACATTTACGAAGAAGTCTTGACAAAACATTTACGAAGAAGTCTTGACAAAACATTTACGAAGAAGTCTTGACAAAACATTTACGATGAAATCATGACAAAACATTTACGATGAAATCATGACAAAAAAGTCAACGGCTGGTCGGCTGGGGTTCGGTCCTCCTCTTGGGTCTTGGGAAAAATTCTTAGGGCTGGAAGCCCTCCGAATAAAAACTTCATTTATACTAAACATCTTCAGGGCTAGAAGGCACGAAGTGCCTGGAAGCCCCACTACCTTTTTTTTTTTTTTTTTTTTTTTTTTTTTTTTAATAAATGAAACAGAGAAGGAAGAAATAAATGAAAGTGAAGATGTTCAACAAAAAATAAACATTGTTAAACCCACCACTGAAACAAAAATTTTTTCATCTGTTGAAGAATTTAATGACTATTATGCTAATAATAAAAAATTATTTGAAGAATTGACAACATGTAAATTGAATAAAATGTTTAAAGTTGATGGATTCAAAATTTCAAAAATAAAAGGAGTGGTTAGTTTGAAATCTATTCCTCAATCAATAATCACCTCATTAATGAAAATAGATGATTTAACAAAAAGAATAGAAGAGATTGAAGAAAGAATGAATCAAATAATTGATTTCATAAATTCAAATAATCATTAGTTTCTTAAAGTTCTATGTTGAACTCATCAAATTCATCTTCATCATTACCATTACCTTTAGCGAGTCTATTTACTCTTTCAACTTTATCTTTTGATAGTCTTTCGTTTAATTTTTTCTGAAGTTTTTCGTTACCAAGTTCTAAAATTTTACATGGATGATATTTAAACCCGTTAAATTCTTTTTCCTCAGTTTTAATCATTAATCTACAAAGAACTTTAGTGAGGGGGCTTTGCTTAAACCATTTATCCTTAATATTTGTTATAAATTCAATATCCGGAATTAATTCCCAAATTTTTGAATTTTCGATTAATTTACCATCAAATGCAAAAGCAATAGGTTTAATATTAAACTTACCTTTATAAAATAAACTTTGTATGTAATCATCAAAATAAACGTCTACTTGTTTAACCTGGGTGAGAATTGGTGAAAGTTTATTCATTAATTGATTTACAGTCACGAATTTTGTTCCGTTCATTTCTTACGAATTAAAAAAATAAATTATTCAAAAATGTAAGACATGAATTTTTAAAGTTTATTTTTTAAAATTTTTTTTATTTTTTACTTCATTATGTAAAGGGTTTGTGAAAATTTCTTACGATTCTGAAAATTTTTAAATCATGATTTATTTCAAAACGTAAGAATAAAAAGCGTAAGAATCATACATTTATTTTATCGATTGTATGAAAATTACTTACAAAATCGGTCAATATTGTGTGAATTCTTACGATTACAAAAAAAGTCACCAAACCCGCATGCATATACTACTTTCAATTTCGGAATTGCTGAGGTTGCAATTTTCGAAATTTTCCATCTAACTAACTAATCTACAGATATATTATTTTGAAGCCAATTCAATTGATACTTTTTGAAATGACTTTTTGGCATGCTGATAAGAGAACACAGAAAATTTGACACAATCCATCATATTTGGATAAATAATTTATCAGTTCGAATTCGGTAGGAAAATCATCGTAAAAATTGAATACTCCTCTTGTCACTTTTTGCGATTGGTCACTTATTTATTCAAAAAAAGTTTTAATTTCCAAAAAAGTAAATGCAACGACAAAAGGCTGTTTTATTTGTCTGCCTTGGAAATATATGCAGAAGTCCAGCATGCGAAGGTATTTGCAAGCTTCTTTCCAAAGATAAAATTTATGTTTCAAGCGCAGGAACAAGCCGCTGGCATAGAAATGAATGTCCGGATGAACGATCACAAGAAATCTGCATGAAGCATGGCATCGACATTAGTGGATGCCGTGCACGTCAAATTAGAGCCGATGATTGGAAATTATTCGATATTATCGCAGCATTAGATGATACAGTGTACGAAAACCTTAACTCATCAAGGCCAGATGATGCTATAGCAAAGGTAGTTCTTTTTAATGCTCCGCACGGTATCCAGGACCCATATTACGGTGGTCGAACAGGTTTTCAGAAGATGTTCGACCAAATCTATGAAGCAATGACACCATTTTTAATCGAGAATGGATTACTAACTGCAGAAGAGCTTAATTAGATACATATTTTTGTTTTTATTGATGAAAATAACTTTTTCGATTTATTTACATCAAAACTCCGTATTACAACATTTCTTGTTGTTATACATGAATAGAATGACTTTATTTTCTTTATGTGTAAATACTTAAATTTTTTTAAATTTTTTATTTCAAAATTATTTCTTTTGAATAATATTTCCAAGCAGGAATACTTCTATATAAAGCAATAGTTGTTCCAAATATAAAAGCATCGGAATGTTTCAGTAAATGAAAAATTATTAATCAATAATTGTAGTAATTGTGCACAATTGTTAATCAATGTTTTAGAGAATAGCTTCCATAAATCTATGTCCAATCATAATCGGTAAGAATTTTCTGATTTAATGCTTTTCAAACAACAAAATGTTATTAATCTAGGATAGAGATAAATTGAGAGTCTCCTAAATTATAATGTTGCATGCTAAGTTCGGTCAATGATAGAAATTGAGTGGAAATTAATCGTCGAGGAAGTACGATTATGTAAAGTAAAAAAATGTTGTGGGATTTTTAATATTATATATTATTTTATAATAAAATTTTTTTGAGTCATTTTAAGAAGCACATATAATTTTTTGAATTTAAAAATTAAAGTAGTGTCAAACGAATTTATCACTTAATTTAATACTCAGATTTCTTAAAATTAATGAAAAAAAGGTTTTCTGAGAACTTTTGAGAATGGTTTTCAAATTCCATTATTGAAAATATATAGGTATTGTATGAAATTCAAACTCTATATTTATTAAAATTCTAAATTTTTAATAAAATAACTTTTCAGAGGAATATGATTTTGAATGGTTGATTAATAAGTATAAAAATGTCTACGATTTTAAGGAGGGAATTGTTCCTTATGAGGTATACATCATAACTATATACCTCATAAGGAACAATTCCCTCTTGATAGCTGGGAAACTTTCTCTGAATAACTTATCATTTGGAGAAAGTTTCCCAGCTATCTATTAGAAACTAAAGGCTATGAGGCACTAATATATAATCAGTGCCTCATAGCCTTTAGTTTCCTATTAAAAACGAGAAAACTTGTTCGAAATGATAAACAATTTCGAACAAGTTTTCTCATTTTAAGGAGGGAATTGTTCCTTATGAGGTATACATCATAACTATATACCTCATAAGGAACAATTCCCTCTTGATATCCTGGATATTTTTGAATATATTTTTTTAATTAAAGTTCTCAAAAGTATTATCAAAAGTGATTTTTTAAAAATATCTCCAATTAATTAACTAATTAAAAGTATTATATTTTTAAAATTAAATAGTTTTTCAATTTTTTTGAAGGAATTGAGATACTTCCCACGACAACAAAATTGAGAGGTTTACATTATGACTGATCTTAGCATACAACAATAACAATAAAAAGATGGCTTTATTTCAAACCGTTGTTGAATAAAGATTGATTTCGAAATTCTCTCCCATAAATTATTTCTTTTGAATAATATTTCCCATAATTAAAACATTGCTTGATTTCGAAATTCTCTCCCATAAATTATTGATTTCGAAATTCTCTCCCATAATTAAAACATTGCTGTTTTATGCTTTAATTGTTATTATACTCTTGTCTTAAGAGTGTACTTTCTACTTCCTGATATACCCTCAATTTTTTTTTGACAAAAAATGCCCAAAAACTTGGATTTTTTTTTGCCAATCTGATATAATACCATGACTTGGCATAACATGCTCATAAAAATATTAAATCAAAGAAGAAAAAATTGGTTTATTTTACCGTGAAACCTATTTCATAAGTTATAGAATGTCAAAAAGTAGTATTTAGAGAGAAGAGAATGGACAAATACATAAGTTTATGCCCATTGAAATCTTTCTGATACTATCGAAATGATTAATAATGATTTCCATGATTATTATATTGGATGTTCATATCAATGTTCGGAATTTGCTTAAGACAATTAATAATTTCTGTATTTTTTCGCTCAAATGCGAGTAAAAACGGTGTCTTATTTGACTTATCTTTAATATTTGGATTAATGTTTGGAAGAGAACAAACAGTTTTGATGATATCAAGATTTTGGTATTGAACTGCATGATGAAGAAGAGTTTGACCATTATTATCTTGAATATTCGGATCAATGTTCTTAACTGTTATGAGAGAATTAATAATTTCTGGAAGTTTTTGGTAATAAACTGCATTATGAAGAAAAGTTCGACCATACTTATCTTGAATATTTGGATCAATGTTCTTAACTGTTAATAGAGAATTAATAATTTCTGGAAGTTTTTGATATTGAACTGCATAATGAAGAAGAGTATTACCTTCATTATCTTGAATATTCGGATCAATGTTCTTAACTGTTAAGAGACAATTTATAATTTCTGGATTTTTTCGCTCAAATGCGAGTAAAAACGGTGTCTTATTTGACTCATCTTTAATATTTGGATTAATGTTTGGAAGAGAACAAACAGTTTTGATGATATCAAGATTTTGGTATTGAACTGCATAATGAAGAAGAGTATTACCATAATTATCTTGAATATTCGGATCAAAGCTCTTAACAGTTAAGAGACATTCAATGAGTTCAGTGTTTTTAATGTTAAAAGGGTATTCAAGAAATGTACGTCCTTCAACATATGAGGAATTGATATTAAAACCTGGGACTGAACAAATAGCTTTAATAGCATCTTTATTATTATTCTTAAATGCATAAAAAAGGGGATTGTAATGATAAAAATTATCTTTTGCATTGATATCAATTCCAGGAACTGAACAAAGGAATTCAATTGCTTGAGTATTATTTTTTTCTGCTGCATAATGTAAAACTGTCATTCCTTGATTATCTTTTGCATTGATATCAATATTAGGAATTGAACAAAGGAATTCAATTGTTTGAGTATTATTTATTTGTGCTGCATAATGTAAAACTGTCATTCCTTGATTATCTTTTGCATTGATATCAATATTAGGAATTGAACAAAGGAATTTTAATGCTTCAATATTTCCATTGTTTAATGCATAATGAATCAATGATGAATCGTATTTATCTTTGACATGAATGTAAGCATTTTGACTTGCAAATTTGATTGTTTCTGCATCATTCTCAAGATAGCAGTTGATCAAAATATGGTAAATCTTTTCAAAATCAGTTGAATTGGCATTGCAATGTATAAGATACTTCAGATTTTTACTTTTCTTTGTTTCTGTACTCGGTTTTTGTGATTTAATGAAATTTGAGATGTCAAAAAGTGTCCTGTTGTTTGTTATTTTTGAAATAAATTCTAAAAGTTTGTAAGCAGATTCAACATTTTCAAAATTGTCGATTTTAGCATGTTGAATAATAACGAAGACTTCTGAGATCCTAAATTTCTTCTTTATTATTGTAGATGTCGTGATAAATTGTTCTGGAGTGAATAAACAATAATCAAAGATCATTGAGAGATCTGCAACAGATCTCATGGCAATAAAATCTTCGTTGTTGTACCAGTTATCGAAATCCTGGGCATATGCTTCATAATCAATAGAACACATTAATAAAAATATAAACCGTTTTTTACAAAAAGTATTTTTGATCAAGAACAAGATCATGATTTATCTATTTTAGGGTGCCTTATTTGGAATATTTTGCATATTCTATGCTAGTCAAAATGTGAAGTGACGAGTCTTATGATTTTTGATGAAGATTTCTCGAAATTAGTCGATCAGATGCTCATTTTTCATTGAAATAATATGTTTAAATATGATTAAGAGTCTATATCTTCATTATTGAAAAAACTGAACACCAGCTTAGTCTCTTTAAAAAAAATGTGCATAGGATAGCATCTTATTATTGATTAAATATTTCATAATATTGGTCGCCAAATCTTTGTTCTTATTCACTATCTTGGGCAAGTGTTTAAAATTGAATAGTTGTAAACATTGACAGTGATATAAATAAACGGTCGCAATGAATTTGAATCAGGGAAATTACCCTGATTCAAGTACTTCCTATAATATATCTATTGAATCAAGTGCCGATTTTGATAGTATTAAGCAAAGCTGCCAAGCAATTGAGAATTTTATTGAAGAACACAAAGATAAATTTCAAAAATCGCAGATATTTAAAGCACTTATTGCTTTACACGACTTGTTCAAGATTGAAATTACGAAAGGAATTCAATTACGACAAATTTTATTCGAAGAACGTAATATTAATACGAAGTTACATACAGAGCTTCGATCTTTCTATGAAATAATAGAAAAGCAGACAAATCTATCAGTAAATTCGATATCTTCTGCCAAAAATGCAATTTTGAAGAATTTTCAAGATAACGAAGAATATAAAGCTTCAAAAGAGCTTGAAATTGCATCATTTACTTCTAAAATTGACAACCTGTCATCAAAAAATGCCGAATTGCAGTCAGCAATTTCAATTTTGCAAAAACAATATAACGAATCAAAAAATAATCAACAAAATATGATTAAATATGAGCAATATCAGCAAGTACTCGACACAAATAACTCATTACAGACACAAATTAAGAATCTTCAAAAGGAAAATTTGGAATTTCAAATTCAGATTCAAAATACTAAGATATCAGCATCAACAAATCAAGAACTTCAGCTACAGATATCAAATGAACGTCAAAAGAATCAACAGCTTATAGAAAAAAATAATGATTTGTTAAATCAAGTTCAAAATCTTTCTTCGAAAGCGTCATCATTAGAATCAAACTTCACACCAACTATTCAAAAGCTTCAGCTCGATTTAAACTCTAAAAATGAAGAGATATCCAGATTAAAAATGCAAATTGTTGACATACAAACTGAAAATCGGAAAGAAATAGATCAATTGGTCAAAGAGAATAAGATACTTGTAGCATCATTAAGTAAAACTAGTAATATATCGTTATTAAATGTTTTCCAAGATATTTGCAAGATATTAAATGTTCCTTTAACAACAAAGCCCGAAGAATTGCCACTAATAATTGAACGTTTAACTCATGATGGATATACATCAACATATGAGTTTTCATCGTTTGATGATTCATATATTATTGGATTACGACCTTTAATCTTAGTTGCATTAACTTGTAATAGACTTTTGGCTAATTGCAAGGAAAGAAGCTTAAGTTTGACGAGTGAAATAGAGAATTTAAAGAATGAACTCATTTCTGCAAGAAATCATATTGAAGTAAGTGAAATTTAATAAAAAATGTTTGTATTTTATCTTTATATAACAAATAGCATATTCTGTAGCTAATAGGAGTAGAATATATTCTCTATTAATAAGATGTTTCATGTAAATTTTCAATGACACTTTAAAGTTAGATGGGTGTAAGTGCAGCCTTAAGGGTGCACTTACCACTTTCTGACACTCTCTCAAAAAGAGATATGCGGGTGTGAAGAGACATAGAAAATTAAACCTTAAACAAGAAATTTGAGAGATTGTCAGAAAGCGGTAAGTGCACCCTTAACAATCTCTTATAAAATTCAAAACTTAGTGATCCTCAATTGTGGGAGTGATAACGATGCACTCTCTTGCGCATCAGGTCTCCGGTCTTACATGACTGCTGTATTAAAGTATCAAAAACTCAAATTTGATATTAAAATTGAGAGAGTGGAACCGTATACTTAAAAAGTTTATTTTAAAACAGATAGATTTACTGCTCCAAGAAATGGTGTTCTATAAACTTTATTAACAATATTTTTGATGTTTTTCATTTTGAATTTTTCTTCTTTATATTTTTTAAATGTATCATCTTTATTTTCTTTGATTTCTGCAGCAATACAATAATATGTTGAATAATGAGATATAAATGAATCTAATGGTTCAATTGAATCAAATGTATCTGCATTATTATAGATAGTTTGAGTTACATTATTATTATTAAAGTAACAATTATCAATAGTTGGTTTATTTTCAAATAAATAATTTCCTTTATTTCCTATGAATGAACAACTTGAATATGTAACTGAACCATAAAGAGAAAATATTGAATTACTTTTTCTACAATCATTGTTTAAATAATTACATTTTGTAATATTCAAATCACCAGAATTGGCCATTCCAGCATTTGGAGATGAAATATTTGAAGCTGTTGTGAAATTAATAATTCCTGTCCCTGTTGGATCTTGCATTATATATGCAGCAAACCAAGTAATTTCATTGTGATAAGATGTATTCATGTTACTTACTTTGATATCTCCATGAAAATGATAAAAAGAGGCATGGTGTCCATTGCATTGTGAAATTGAACTTTCAAATGCATAACTTTTGTTGTTACTATTTTCAACTGAATAAATTTCATATCCACATCCACCTAAACTACCTGAAACAATTGATGAGAGTAATATACAAATATGAACCAAAAAACAGTCAGAATTCTCGATATAGAATGATCCACCATTTTGTGTGGAGCTGTTATTGTAAAATGTGCATGTTTCGAGTAAGACTTTGCTGCTTGAATCAAGGTAAATTGCTGTATTTTGATAATGGAAAGAAAATATTGCATCATGTATGTAATAATTTCCGTTCCCCCATATAGTTTCGTTAATTGTTTTATTGAAAGTCTCAACTGTGCCATAATAATCAGAAAAACTTTGATGAAGCTGCATATAGCTTTGATGGTTGGTTTATTTTGTTCATTATGCATTTCTGAGTGCTGATCCGTATGAACAGTGCTCAAATTATAGTTAAATATAATTGAAATGATGCTGTGATATAAATTTAATTTCCCATAAGATTTTTGTACTTGATGTTTAAACTTCAATTTTCTGGCTTCTAATTTTCCAATTTTCACAGGGATGTGCGAGTATTTATTCACGATATTCCAAAATAATTTGTAACAGAATTTGAACAAATTGATGTGGCCATAGTAAATTTTTGAAGATAGGAAATGCAGTTACACATTTTAAATTTCATGAATTAAGATTATTTTTGAGAATTGAAATATCAAGAATTTTCTCAAAATGTTCAAATAATATTGATATATAAAGTATATATGATTAGTTCATTTAATCAAATTAATGAAATAAACGATTTTTGAATTTAGAAATTTAAAATCAAGGTCTATATTGCCCCAAAACAAGAAATATTTTCAATATATAGTAAATGTAATATAATTTGCTTATCAAATCAATCAAAATCTACCTCAAATGACGATTTTTTGTCAAAAAAATATAAAATGGATTCTCTTTCTCCAGAAGAGTTTATTATTTTACAGGATGATATGTGCCATATTGTAAGTGAGACGAATAACCAAATTGCAATCCTCCCATCCACTCTTTTCTTAACAAACAAGAAGCTTCTCGTAAAAACAATTTATGATAAAGTCAATACTCATTTTATTAACATTGCAGACATTGACTCTTTTGAACAGACAGAAGTAAACGATTGCAATGTACTCAAAATGATTGGAAGAGACCCGAAAAATACCTTAGGAATTTTCTTCACTGATCCTGACCACCAAAAGACTTTTGCCGAGCTTCTTTCTAAACTACTTGAGACACAGCAAATAGGACAAGCGCAATTTGATGCACTTGCGCTAGGTATTCAGCGTCGTGTCCGAGAATGTGGTGATGTCAACAAGTTCTACGTTGAATATCATACAATCAAAGATAACATCATTAACGAACCACCACCACAAGTCGTAGAACAAGTAAATGAGAACGCAGTTAAGTTATTATCACATTTCCAAGGTGTTTCATCACAAACCATTGATGCATTGAACGATATGATATCTCGTAGTGAAACCCTCTTCTTCGCTACCTTTGTTGGCCTGATTTTGATCTTTAATTTACTTTTAATTTTAGTTCCGTTCGGTCTTTTTGTTTCAGCGACCGTATTTATCCTTATTCTTAACCGCAGCATTAAGCTGCTCTTCTCTAAAGACGCAAAGAACATCAAACAGAAGATGAAAGAGTTGGATCAACAATTACGTAAAAGATTCAAGAAGATTCTTGGCAGTTTCGAAGTATTTAAGTCATCATTCGATCGCAGACTACTTTGGAAGAATCCAAGACAAACTCTTGAAGTCGAATTGTTTTTGTTCTCTATTGCACTTATGTTTTACAACTTTGACTCAGCATTTGTTTTGGCAACATCAATGTTTGGCCTCGGATTCGTCGAAAGATGGGATCCATTTGGATTTGGCTCTCTTTATGAAATCCTTGCAGAACTATTCACTTTCTCTCATTAAATAAACCTTGTTCGTATTACTAATTGTACATGATTTATAAATTATAATTTTTTTTTCCTAATGTAACATATAAATTATCTGACACACAAATTTTTTTGATATCTATAAATTAAAATCACTATTGATCACACCAAATGTTGGTATTCTCTGTCGATAAAAGTTATTATAAACAACTATAGATTACGGTATTATTGTTTTTTACTATTTCAAACTAATGTGAGAGTTTGTCAGAAAGTGGTGCGTGCACTATTCATTAAGTGTGTATATCGTTTTACAAAAGATCGACATATCTTCGACTTTTTGATATCAAATTCTACCAGGTCTGTCTTTTGGACCGAGAAAACCTTCTTCGTTTATGTAACAAAAACAACACTAGAATTCCCAATAATAGCACAAAGCATCGAATAATCATAAGTTTCTTACAATTTTCTGACTTTAATTCAAAATGACTAATTAAAAAAGTTATTTTAAAACAGATAGAGTTACTGCTCTAACAAATGGTGTTTTATAAACTTTCTTGACAATAATTTTGATATTTTTCAGTTTTAATTTTTCTTTTTGATATTTTTTATATGAATCAACTTTATTTTCTTCTGTTTTTGCAGCAATACAATAATATGTTGAATAATGAGATATAAAAGAATCTAATTGTTCAACTGAATCAAATGTATCAGGATAATTATTTATAGCTCGAATGACATTATTATTATTAAAGAAACAACTATAAACGGATTTTGGTTCTGGAAAAAATAAATAGATTCCTTTATTTCCTATGAATGAACAACTTGAATATTTAGTTGAAGAGGTACACCAAATTATTGCAAAATCACTTCCTGTATATTCATTGTTTAAATAATTACTTTTTGTAATACTATATTCACCTTCAGAATTGTAAATTCCAGCAATTTCTGTAGAAGAAGTATTTGATGCTGTTGTGAAATTAATAATTCCTGTTCCTGTTGGAAAGTCAATCGAATATGCAGCATAAGAAGTAATTTCATGATAAGATGTGTTCATGTTACTTACTTGGATATCTCCATAGCAATGACCAAAAGAAGAACTGTGTCCACATGCATTGTGAAACTGAACTTTCAAATGCATAATTTTTGTTGTTACTATCATAAACTGAAGAAATGTCATATCCACATCCACCTAAATCACTTGAAATAATTGATGAGAGTAATAAACAAATATGAGCTAAAATACAGTCAGATTTCTCAATACAAAACGATCCACCATGTTCTGTTGAGCTGTTATTGTAAAATGTGCATGTTTCGAGTAATACTTTGCTGCTGGAATTAAGATAAATTGCTGTTTTTTGATAATAGAAAGAAAATATTGCATTATGAATGTAATAATCGCCATTTCCTGATATAGTTTCGTTATATGTTTTATTGATATGCTCGACTTGCCCATAGTATTTGGAAAAACTTTTTTGAAGTTGCATAAAGAGTTGTTGACTGATTCATTTTGTTGAATATGCAATACTGAGCTTTGATTCATTTAAATGTTGTCGAAATTATCGTTAATAATTCCAGGAAATCAATTTCATAGACGACTTTTTTTTGAATCATGGAAAATTAATCATAATAAGAATCAGATTCATTAATCAGAAGGAATAACTTATAATTCCTCAAAAATCGAGGCCACACCCTTGAATATTTTAACTACCCAGGTATCTAAAATACCATTTATCGCCTGAAAAGCACCCTTAATTTATGCCAATTGACAAAATAAAGATATGTTTAGAATGCTGATATGATGGAGAATCATGCTGCATCATTATTGGCCAGCAATATATAATATTTAAGAAATCTACGAGATTATCTGATTTCATGAAACTCAATGTATACTAAGTTTCAGACTTTGAAATTTTAACATGTTGATATGGGTACATAGGGTTTATGATTCCAGTCATTTATTTAAAAAATTACAAAAATGAATTAATATGATGTGAGTAACAATGGTAATAAACGCTTAATTACTAATATATTATTTCTTGGTAGGAATGAAATGTTTTGGTGACATTTATAGAAGTTAAGCTGAGAATCAAAAATGCAAAAATTATTTTAAATATTACAAGCATTATTTGATGTCATTGAGTTTAGAGTCGTGTAGATATATGAGTACAATATGTTATTGATGTATATATGCAATAATTGTGAAAATGAAATGTGAATCTCAAGATGAGTTGCATGTTACTGCGCTATAATTTGAATTCAATACGTACATAACATTACTAAATGTATTTTAAGATAATACAAAAAATTAAGCTTGCAAAAAGATATCGAAATGTAATTTTCATTAGATTCAAAGTTCTGAATAGATTTTGATTTTAACTATTGATGAGTTTGTCAAACCTCTATAATAATAGAATGTAGAACTAATTAAATATAATTAATAAAAAATACAAATTTAAGTGATATTATAAGAGATATATGTGATGTTACCAATATGATATGATATTGGAGAACTGATAGAATTGTGATGTGAGACTAAATATGATTTTATTATGAATAGGAAATAATATTAGAAGAATTTCTTGAATTTAATGTATCTGAATATGTAATCGGGCATATATTCTATATATTGGTAGGTTAACTAGAAATAAGAAGATGAAAGATTGTTAATGAATAATATGAGATTAAGCGAAAATATATTGTTCTAATAGATGAGTGTTGAGATCCAATATATATGAAGAGGGATATGTGAGAGGAAATATGTATATTTAATAAAATAAGCGATGAGAGAAAAAATAACAAAGATTTATATGAAATTTTGAGTATTGAAAAAGCTCGATTAGTGATTTTATGTCTGTTAAAGGAATAGATATTCTAGGAGAAAGATAAATTGAATTAAAGAAGAATAAAAAAAGTTGATTAAGAATGATAAAAATATTGAATTGTATGAAAATGGAAAGAAGGAATAAATTGGTGTTGGTATGACGGTATGATTTCGGGAGATATTGCCTCTGCATGTCTCCCAGAATGGAACAATGTTCCGCATTGATAACTTGAACGCGGAAGTTTGACCGACAAGAGTGTATTGTGCACTCCTGTCGGTCGCAGTGTCTCATTCTGGGAGACATTGCCTCTGCATGTCTCCCAGAATGGAACAATGTTCCGCATTGATAACTTGAACGCGGAAGTTTGACCGACAAGAGTGTATTGTGCACTCCTGTCGGTCGCAGTGTCTCATTCTGGGAGACATTGCCTCTGCATGTCTCCCAGAATGGAACAATGTTCCGCATTGATAACTTGAACGCGGAAGTTTGACCGACAAGAGTGTATTGTGCACTCCTGTCGGTCGCAGTGTCTCATTCTGGGAGACATTGCCTCTGCATGTCTCCCAGAATGGAACAATGTTCCGCATTGATAACTTGAACGCGGAAGTTTGACCGACAAGAGTGTATTGTGCACTCCTGTCGGTCGCAGTGTCTCATTCTGGGAGACATTGCCTCTGCATGTCTCCCAGAATGGAACAATGTTCCGCATTGATAACTTGAACGCGGAAGTTTGACCGACAAGAGTGTATTGTGCACTCCTGTCGGTCGCAGTGTCTCATTCTGGGAGACATTGCCTCTGCATGTCTCCCAGAATGGAACAATGTTCCGCATTGATAACTTGAACGCGGAAGTTTGACCGACAAGAGTGTATTGTGCACTCCTGTCGGTCGCAGTGTCTCATTCTGGGAGACATTGCCTCTGCATGTCTCCCAGAATGGAACAATGTTCCGCATTGATAACTTGAACGCGGAAGTTTGACCGACAAGAGTGTATTGTGCACTCCTGTCGGTCGCAGTGTCTCATTCTGGGAGACATTGCCTCTGCATGTCTCCCAGAATGGAACAATGTTCCGCATTGATAACTTGAACGCGGAAGTTTGACCGACAAGAGTGTATTGTGCACTCCTGTCGGTCGCAGTGTCTCATTCTGGGAGACATTGCCTCTGCATGTCTCCCAGAATGGAACAATGTTCCGCATTGATAACTTGAACGCGGAAGTTTGACCGACAAGAGTGTATTGTGCACTCCTGTCGGTCGCAGTGTCTCATTCTGGGAGACATTGCCTCTGCATGTCTCCCAGAATGGAACAATGTTCCGCATTGATAACTTGAACGCGGAAGTTTGACCGACAAGAGTGTATTGTGCACTCCTGTCGGTCGCAGTGTCTCATTCTGGGAGACATTGCCTCTGCATGTCTCCCAGAATGGAACAATGTTCCGCATTGATAACTTGAACGCGGAAGTTTGACCGACAAGAGTGTATTGTGCACTCCTGTCGGTCGCAGTGTCTCATTCTGGGAGACATTGCCTCTGCATGTCTCCCAGAATGGAACAATGTTCCGCATTGATAACTTGAACGCGGAAGTTTGACCGACAAGAGTGTATTGTGCACTCCTGTCGGTCGCAGTGTCTCATTCTGGGAGACATTGCCTCTGCATGTCTCCCAGAATGGAACAATGTTCCGCATTGATAACTTGAACGCGGAAGTTTGACCGACAAGAGTGTATTGTGCACTCCTGTCGGTCGCAGTGTCTCATTCTGGGAGACATTGCCTCTGCATGTCTCCCAGAATGGAACAATGTTCCGCATTGATAACTTGAACGCGGAAGTTTGACCGACAAGAGTGTATTGTGCACTCCTGTCGGTCGCAGTGTCTCATTCTGGGAGACATTGCCTCTGCATGTCTCCCAGAATGGAACAATGTTCCGCATTGATAACTTGAACGCGGAAGTTTGACCGACAAGAGTGTATTGTGCACTCCTGTCGGTCGCAGTGTCTCATTCTGGGAGACATTGCCTCTGCATGTCTCCCAGAATGGAACAATGTTCCGCATTGATAACTTGAACGCGGAAGTTTGACCGACAAGAGTGTATTGTGCACTCCTGTCGGTCGCAGTGTCTCATTCTGGGAGACATTGCCTCTGCATGTCTCCCAGAATGGAACAATGTTCCGCATTGATAACTTGAACGCGGAAGTTTGACCGACAAGAGTGTATTGTGCACTCCTGTCGGTCGCAGTGTCTCATTCTGGGAGACATTGCCTCTGCATGTCTCCCAGAATGGAACAATGTTCCGCATTGATAACTTGAACGCGGAAGTTTGACCGACAAGAGTGTATTGTGCACTCCTGTCGGTCGCAGTGTCTCATTCTGGGAGACATTGCCTCTGCATGTCTCCCAGAATGGAACAATGTTCCGCATTGATAACTTGAACGCGGAAGTTTGACCGACAAGAGTGTATTGTGCACTCCTGTCGGTCGCAGTGTCTCATTCTGGGAGACATTGCCTCTGCATGTCTCCCAGAATGGAACAATGTTCCGCATTGATAACTTGAACGCGGAAGTTTGACCGACAAGAGTGTATTGTGCACTCCTGTCGGTCGCAGTGTCTCATTCTGGGAGACATTGCCTCTGCATGTCTCCCAGAATGGAACAATGTTCCGCATTGATAACTTGAACGCGGAAGTTTGACCGACAAGAGTGTATTGTGCACTCCTGTCGGTCGCAGTGTCTCATTCTGGGAGACATTGCCTCTGCATGTCTCCCAGAATGGAACAATGTTCCGCATTGATAACTTGAACGCGGAAGTTTGACCGACAAGAGTGTATTGTGCACTCCTGTCGGTCGCAGTGTCTCATTCTGGGAGACATTGCCTCTGCATGTCTCCCAGAATGGAACAATGTTCCGCATTGATAACTTGAACGCGGAAGTTTGACCGACAAGAGTGTATTGTGCACTCCTGTCGGTCGCAGTGTCTCATTCTGGGAGACATTGCCTCTGCATGTCTCCCAGAATGGAACAATGTTCCGCATTGATAACTTGAACGCGGAAGTTTGACCGACAAGAGTGTATTGTGCACTCCTGTCGGTCGCAGTGTCTCATTCTGGGAGACATTGCCTCTGCATGTCTCCCAGAATGGAACAATGTTCCGCATTGATAACTTGAACGCGGAAGTTTGACCGACAAGAGTGTATTGTGCACTCCTGTCGGTCGCAGTGTCTCATTCTGGGAGACATTGCCTCTGCATGTCTCCCAGAATGGAACAATGTTCCGCATTGATAACTTGAACGCGGAAGTTTGACCGACAAGAGTGTATTGTGC